TATAAGTAGCTTTTACAATTATAATTTTTTTTTATTATTTTTAAATAACTTGAAGTGTTTTTTTTTACTTGTGAGTAACTTTTTATATTATTGACTAGATAGTGTAATCTTTTTATTAATATTTAATTTAAAAATAAAAATAAAAATAAACTCTTAAAAGATGGGGTTGGGATCACTATTCATTTTTGTCACTTAAGTTTTCACACTTGCTTGGTTTGTACTATTTATTAACTGGTTCACAAAATGTCCCTTAAAAGTGGGTTTTGCCCTCTCTCGCTTTCATTTTTACATGACAAAGAAAACACTATCACACTGATTTTCAAAATCTGAGATATTGAAACTCAGAGGGTCGAAAAAGAGATCTTGAGAAGGAAACTGTAGTACGAATTGTATGAAGTGAGAAGACAATCTACAGTAGTTGATTAATTGAAAGCATTGGATATGCGATTTGGGCAAAAAAGATTTGGTGGTTATTGATTGTTTTTTAGTTTTCTATGTTATTGGCATCCAACGTCTTTCATTATTGTTTAAAAATGTGTAATACCTTTGAACCTTATCTATGCTGAATTAAGAACTTTAGAAATTATGATGGCTGATACTCTAACTCTCTTTTATTTTGCAGCAGGGCCTCAGGAGTGTCCATATCAGTGTCTTATAAAGCGTAACCCGAAGAATGCAACATTTTATCTCTATCTTGCTCTTTCACAATGTAAGTAAACCTTTGTTGGAAGTTTCTAAGATAACTTATAAATTGAAATTTGCTTGTGTGCCAAATGATATTAATTTAATCATTTTCTATCTGGTGAATTGACTAAGTAAAGCCTTGTAGTTTAACATCTATAGTTAGGAGGATCGTTAAAAATCTGTTGGGTTATTAGTCTCAATATCTCGTGAGTAGAGACATCATGTTTGATGTTTGCTAAGTATCTTGACTTGGTCCGTTAATTTTTCTTCTTTTCTTGTGCTGCAATGACTATTTAGAATGTCATATAGCAAACCTTAGTGACTATTTCAAATGCCAAGAAAAATATTTATGCTACTGTTTCAAATATTATAGCCCAACTAATATTTTAAAAGAGTTCTTCATACTTTTTTTAAAAACAAATATCATTAACTTTTGTCATGTAGCTTCGATGTTCGGATAGCATTTGAAACTAGAGCCTTTGTGTCCAGAGAAAAAGTCAGCGTAGAAGAAAAAATTGAATTTCATACTATAAATGCTCGTGGTTTGATATTTATACATTTGATTTCCAAATAACTAGACAATTACATACTATCAATTTTAATTATAATGCAATCTATATATGTTAATATAGTATGATAAATGATTCTTTTATCACCTATCAAGGCAAATGATGAAGGCGACACACTATAATCCAACATATTTAACACACTAGCATTACGTTCAAAATAATCCAACCCCTACATTGCACGGGCAAAGACTAGAACTAGATAGAAGTGGAAATATGCCAAGTGAGGCTAATGGGCCGAGCCCAAGATATGGTTGCTTGATTAAATAAGTCAAATCCAATTGAATAATCGGTGTTGAGTCAATCAAAGTGAGACTCCCTTCATCACGCACATACCACTTAATTAATAGATATAATAACAGTTCCCCAAGTTTGAGTCAAATTAATATGAGGGTTGAACTTAAAATATGAGTTGTCAAGTAGGTTAGGTCTTACAAATTGCCTCAGAAGTATGAGCAGTGCCAAAAAAGTGAGGGCTTATGAACTACCTCCAAAATATGTATTGATCCTGAATAGGCAAGGACTTACGAATTACTTTGGGAGTATAAGTCGCTCCAATAAGTGAGGACTTACGAACTACTTTAAAAATATCCATGCTAGCTGGAATAAGCAAGGACTTATAGATTGCCTCTAAAATATCACACCATCACTTATCGAAATTTTGATAGCGTCTCCTCAATAATATAGACTAAACTAAATTAAAATAAAATTTAATATCTCTGCAATACATATACAAAATAATTTGGGATCCATTTGTCTATCCAAATAAAGTAAAATGATGATAAGATTGAACTTGCTAGTGTGAAGCAAGTAACAAGATGTCGATAATAAAATGATAATGTAGATAATGTAGCACTTGTACTTACTATAGTGAAAATAATTTCATGATATGCTAGTGATGATGTGGCATTCATATTTGACAGCAATAATATAACGTATATGCTAGTACTAATAATGTAATAATACTCACAATAGTCCCAAAGTCGAATATTAATATTCATATAATACATGGACTTTTAGGATAAAGACTAGGCTCCGAATGTAAGCAACTGTAATGAGGCTGGTTGCAAATGCAGACTCTAAATATAAGTAGCCATGATGAAATTAATGTGTAGGTGAGGCTCTGATTATACTCTCTCCATCCCATAAAGATAGTTATATTTCTTTTGGCACATATTAAGAAAATTTATTTAATATAGTTGAAATAATAAATTTTACTATCATATTTCTTAATATACCCCACATTTATGCATACAATATTCAAGGTAATTAAATTATTTTTAGTACTAGTTATTGTTTAATGTAATAGTCAAGGTAATTAACATTCCAAAATCATCTAATATAAATGAATAAATGTCATGGAAGATGATTTTTTTGGTTTTTAATTTATTGTTTCAATTACAATTGAATAACGGAGTGGTTTATTATAATTATGATAAAAAAAAAAGAACATTAAATAGGGGTATATTAGAAAACTAATATGTTAATTACACTCTTAACTAATAAACCAGACTGTAATTTGGGATAGACAAAAAGGAAAACATAACTATCTTTTTGGGACATAGGAAATAATAAGCAGTGGTGGTGCCAAAGCAAGACTCTAAAGATAAGCAACTTTGATGCAGAAGCGACTTTGATGAAATAGATGCAGAGGTGAGACTCAATATAAGTAATAGTGATGAAGTTGGTGCAGAAGTGAGATGTTACCTGCGCACTTGAATACCTTGTTAGAGGCAAAGATCGTAGGTTGAGAAAAAAGTCCAACTACCATTTGTTCTCAAATGATCAAATCAACAATCGGACGAGAGATAAATGAGTGTAGGAGATGGCATAAGGAAATTTGGTTAAGGTTAGAACACATTCATTAATTGTGAATGGACTCATCTGTACATAGGAGAGAAATGGAAATTGGACTAGCAGAGCTAATGGGATGAGTCCAAGCTCAAGACACGATTGTTTAATTAAATAAGTCCATTCAATTAAATAATCGGTACTGAGTCGGCAAATGAGGGACTCCATCCGTCATGCACATATCACGTAATTTATAAATTTAATAAAAATATCATTGATACTTCTAGTGCTTCCTTGCACATAACAAGCTCCAAAACTATTGAATCATTCTCAACTTTTTCATCAGCAAGATTTTAAGTAATTTTAGTAACAATTTCCTCTAAATTTGAAAGCTCTAAATTTTCATCATTTTCAATCAGATAATCAAAGAGGTTTTTTGTACATTCATTCTAATGATAACCCAAACCTTTGACTATAGTTTCAAGTTCATAAATATTATTCATCTATGGAATCATTAAGTTCTTTGCTGCCATTTCTTTCATAGAACAAATTTTGCGATGTCTAGAATAATTTGCCGTTGTCTTTGCCTAAATTTTTATTATCCATAGTTTTGGTATTTACCAGAATCATTTTACTAGAATAATATAGTACGAATTCCACAGATGATTAGAAGGGGACGACCACACTTGTTCAATTTATCTCTCTCAACTTGGATCCCATGAGGCGGGCCTTGCGACTAAAATCCCATAAATGAAAAATGCCAAAATAGGACTAAGACTTGATATTATATCCAAGCCGAGACTAAGGTTGAACCCCAGCCTTAAGGATCCCCCACCGCCCCGCCCCTAGAGCATTGTGAGAAATGTTAATCGTGGGATGTGCCATAACAAACCAGGGAACAAGAGTTGCCTGTATATTGGTGCCCACAAAGAGTCTCAATCCATGTTTCAGGAATCGAACCCTCACACTGCGACTGTCAGCAAGGCTGAGTATATCTCACTCTTGTCCTTTACACCACTAGAATTCTAGATTGGTTTGCCTTACTTTATAGTCCTCCAAAATTCTAAAGGTAAAATCATTTATGATAATGCATCTTGAAAACACTTATTATCCGGGCTTCGTAAGGTTGAACGTTTGGGTGGAAAAAAAATTGCTCAAGATTTTGTAATTTTTCAACATTTTTGGTTAGGTTGGACAATTATCTATCACCAAGTTTTGGAAATTATGATGGTTTGTGTTACTTAGCATGACCACGTTTTGCTAAGTTAATTAAAATATATTTTGACCCATTTTTACAATACTTCTTGAGTGCATGTGGGACGCTCTTTACTATACTCATATCATGCTTGTGCATCTCACTGTATTAGCTAGAAAGTCATTGTAACTGGCCCCCAGGACACATCTCCAAGTGGTAAAAGGGGAAGGTGGAGAAATCCAGCTTTACTTGAGGCTGCTGCATTAAGGGTTCGAATCCTGAAATATGGATTTGGCTCTTGGGTAAGTGCAAGTGTACAAACAGCCTTCCACCCTGTACCCTTGGAGGCATAACCTGCGATTTACCTCCCTCACGATGCTCCAGGGTAGGGGTGGTGGGGAACCCTTAAGGTTAGGGTTTAATTTTTTTTTTAGAAAGTCATTGTAACTGTGAATTATAAGAGACTTTGTATTTGTTTATACGCTGAACATATTTAATTAAATCAATGTCCAATAATATTATTTAATTAAGTACATAATACCATGAATTTATTTTTTGGTTAATTTAATGTATATTTAGTGAATTAATTCATATTCAATTGATTAGATTGGTTAATAAATTGAATTTTTAGTGGATTAAATACATGTTCAATGAGTTTTAAATAAACCTATAAATTAAAAAAATATTAATTTATACCTCTTTTAATTAATAAAATTTATATTGTCCCAATGCTATTAATTTAAAGAGGTTATATTTTATATTGATTTATAAATTTGCCAAAGGAGGCTAATACTATTATTTAATAACACCAAATAAATTCATTCGTCTAGCAAGTAATACATTATAAGATGGGCATAAGAACAAGAAAGGGCAAACATTGAGGCCTAATAGAGTTTAAAGCTAGGCAGTCAATGGTGAGGGCAAAAGGTGACCAAATAACTTCCGCCGGTGCAAGTGGCGATGCTTGTGGGATCATCATAGGCATACGAATAAGCTCTCGGACAAGCAGACTTGAAAATCCTCGAATAGGCAGTCGGCTTGCACGACTGTGGGGTCCCAAAGCTACCCGTGCAACAGTACCTTGGCGAGTTGAATGCAAAACAAGCACTCTTGCAAGCTACCACTCTCTTCTTGTCGTGTGATTTCACCTGAAGTCCCACCGGGCATATCATGTTCAGGTCACTCACGCACCCGGCATAGCTGCATTTGCCTGCAAGACGACGTAGAAAACGAGATCAAGAAATTCTATATAAAATCTATGAGCAGCCAACCCAAAATTTAGTGGAAATAAAGTTACCAGAGAGTCTTGCTTTTGATCTGAATGATGTAATGTATTGCATAAGGGGGCATATAAGTAAAAAGAACACAAAGAAGCTTAGAAAATGATATGACTAGTGCATTCTTGGCTTTTTTATGCCAAACTGTTTAGGCAAACGCCAAATTGAAGTTTCTTAGTATGCAACTTGACGTTGCTACATCATTGCAGATAAGGATCTGAAAATTTCTTTGTTTCTCAATTAGCAAAAGGGAAAAGCCACATGCTTGTTCAAATTATAGAAACTAATGTTACTGGAAACTTACAAGTAATTTTGAGAGCAAACCATCTTTTGAAAGAGCATATACGAATAATCATGAATGTCTATAAACAAAGATTATACAAGAGAAATTTACCATGCTTGCTTTGAAAGATTGTATTAGTTCACCCAATCGATAAATCTGACCTTACAACATTGAGGGGAAGTTTTCAAACAGTCTAAATGAACAACAGCTTAAGGTTTTAGATTAGATGATTCTACATAGTATGAGAAAATAATGGGTTAAGGAGGGAACAAATTCATTTCTATCAATTTTTGTTCAACATGTGACTCTTATGTAGGTCAAATTCTTTTTCTTCTCACCCCATCAAAGGGGTGACACACGCATAATTTTCATAAACTTGGATGGTGAAACTTGAGCTCACGACTTTTTCATTCAACTTAAACTATTGTGAGATGCTACAAGTATAGAAAACAGTTGACAGGATTTTTATAGAACAATACTTGCCAAAAATTCATTGGTTTTGAATTGAATATAGGTAGAAAATACACCATACAAGTGCTGTCGTTTCTGTGAATTAGTCTTATTCATTTGTTTTTAAGAAGGTAAAATATCAATAAATTGCATCAAGATAATGATTCTTATGTCTCTGTCCTTTGTCATTGTGGCAATTAATATACTTGACAAGATGTATTCATGTAAAAACAAAGGAACATTTGAAAGAACAATATGACTTCAAAGATTCCTGACTCTTTATTATGCCCCCATCCGAGCCCCTTAAATTTATAATACATTTTTTTCACTTTTCTTTTTATTCAGACATTTTCCAATAAAATAATATCACATGGACTAAAATCTTTTCTTCTTTTTCAACTACACATTCTCCAAAAATACTCTATTCCAAAAATTATAGCATCAAATGATGGAGGCAAACGAGGGCTATCAACGAGCAACATCTTCATTGTCACATCATTACAGATACGAATCTAATTACTGAATATCTAAATGCAAGGATATGAGACTATGAAACAGTTAAGAAATTGAACCAAAAGAATTATTAAACAATTTAAAAAAAAAAATTTCATTGTAATCAAGAATACCATACCTGTGCCTCTGAAGGGTGTAATGGAAATAGCAAGATTGTAGCCATCAACAAGACTAACATCATAGAAATCCTGGTCATTTCCGAGAGTAATTTCAGCAAGAGTGGCAGGAGGAGTCCCACCAAGGCCATTGCAAAAGAGGGCACCACCACAATCCCCGGTGGCGCAGCGGCCGTGGCCAGTGGCGTCAAAAGAGCAGCCGTGGCGACCCCAAACTCGGCCGGACCACCCGGCAGGAAGTTGGAGAGTGTGGGCCTTGTTTGGTGGCAGCTTGAACCCACCCCCGGCTAAAATGGGCTTGCCAGCACTTGGCTGAATGCCTGGCCACACTGAGTGGCTGCACTTGTTGTAAAGTGTCAATGTTGTGGCTGAAACCTCCACTGAAATCATCCATTTTTCGGCCAAAAAAGAACGAAAAAAATTTGTGGGTTATGTGCATAATGGAATGTAATGATTAAACAAAATGAAAAAAAGAAAGAATTTTTGCTGCTATTGTTGTGGTTGAAACATCAACAGAAATTACCCATTTTTCAGCCAAAAACAAACAACAATTTTGTGGGTTATATGTGTAATGGCATGCAATGTTGCAACTAAATGGAAATAGATGAAATTTTGCTATCATTGTTGTGGCTGAAACCTCCACTGAAAGCACCCATTTCACCCAAAAGAAAAGAATAGATTGTGGGTTATGTGGATAATGCCATGTAATGATTAAAAAAAATGAAGATGAAATATTGCTTAGATACCTGAAATGTTGAATGTAAGTAGACAGAGAAAGAGTAGAGTAATGAGAGGTCTGAGCAGCGTTTCCATGGCTGAGGCAGGAAAAAGTTCAGAAAAATCAGCTAACAAAGGATTAATTGTTCTTTGGCCAGTCCCAGTTTTACAGGCTATTATAGGAAGAATAAAGAAATAGAGCTAATTAATAAGGAAATATTACAACTGAGGTATCCAAGTTATCCGAAATGCAGTAAAGAAGTCTTAAATTTTTCATTTTTATGGCATTCAAGTCCTTAATGTAGGGTTTATGTCCATATGACCAGAGCCGGTCCTGTAATTGCCGGGGTCCGAGGCGAAATCTAAAAATTAGGCCCCCCAAAATCAACATAAATACAAAATTTAACGATATATTATGTAACATATTACTAACTTAAAACAACAAACAAGTATCTCAATCATCTCACAATTAATGAAAAAATCATTTTTCTTTTTCTTGTTTTAAAATTAAAAAAAATAAAAATCTTTTTGGCCAAAACAAGCCCTCTATGATTTTGTGCCTGAGGTACAGGCCTCATTTGCACGGCCAAGGACTGACCTACACATGATCCTTTAAAAGTTATATTTTTATGAAAAATAATTTTACCCTTACATATTGAATGATTAAGAAAAAGAATGAGGATACAAATGCAGAAAAAAAAAAGGTTGAGGACCTACCTACCTACCATAATCTAATTAAGTTGGAGACCGCACTTGTAATTTAAGTTAATAATGCTAACTGAGACGGGGGTTTAGCAGTTTTTTGGGAGAGCTTTTTCAACCAAAAGTACTTCATGGAGGCCAAAAGTTCTTTTCAAAGTAAAAAAGTGCTGATTGACCCAAAAAAACGTTACATTTATCTTATGCCATTGTTTGAACCCATTTGTTTTTTGACAAAATGTATTTTTAAATAGTGTTTTGTCGGAGAATGTGTGGTTAAAAAACAAGAAAATATTTTGAATTTAGAATAATCTCGTATGTTTGTGTTGTGATTGGAAGAGATTTTAAGTTGAGGGTTTCGATTTATTATGTTACCTCTTCGTTTTCTAATATTTTTTGAGATTTTCACTATTATACTTGGTAGAATTTTTTTTGTTTGTTTGATATTTTGGTTCATGGAGAACCTAAATTTGTTCCTTTAATTTTTCTATTTTTTCTTTGATATTCCTATTCTTTGAACTGGGTTTGTTGGGTGCTTAAAGTGTATAATTAGACTTAATATTCATATATCTAACTTCTATTAAAAATATGAATGAGATGACACTGTAGACACAACAGTAAAGTAATCCTATTTTACTATTCATGCTAATTTTTGTTTTTTCCCCCCCCTATTTTTTTATTCTTTGCTTCGACCATATTCATACTTGCGATCATGCCAACAATCATGCTAATCGTACTCCTTATGCTTTCCTTATTTTCCTTTTGATATCTTCATTTCCATTTATTTTTTTTCGTTTTGGTGCTATGGCTGTGGAATTTCGGTTAATCATCTGTTTTTTTGGACCACATTCCCGATACTACTCTCAAACTTCATCTACGAGCTTTCAACGAGTGTGGTTTATTTGATTTTTTTTTTTTTTTTTTGTCTGCCAAAATGGTTATAGGAAGACAACAACATTGGATACCTACATCTACAGAGGTTGATTTTCTTCGGTGCATATTTGATGGAGGAAATAAAAGTCCAAATAATGTAGAAACTCTGCATATAGTCTCCACCTTATCGCCACATAATCCTATTATTTCTGAAAAAATGTTGATGATTGGTTTAGGAATAGGTGAGCCTGCGAAAGAAAGAGAAAGCAGACGTGCTTTGAGAATTCTCAACTGAATAATTGATGCATGAAGTGCAACCTCATTCTGATCGACATTTAAAGACCTTCAGTTTAACAAGTTTATATATAGTATTGCTTATGCCTTTTTTTTGTGCTTATATTTGTTTTAATCATATTTTGTAGGAAAAAAATCTCCGAATAATGCGAAAAGATGGCACTGTGCGGAGAGATGGCACCATGAGTTCGGAGCTCTCCGCACAGTTCGGAGAGATAAGCTAATTTCTCCTAAATATACGGAGTTTTTTTTTTGTTTTTTTTTTAGCAATTGTTTAAGTGCTTGTAATAAACTAAATTTGGTCATTATTTTTTTTATATATAATTATGTTTAGTTTATTTATATATAACATCATTTTTTCATGTTGTTTTTTCTTTCTGCTTGTAGTTTCTCATCTTTGTTATGTGCTTGTATTTGTGTATTGGCTGTTTTTTCAGGAAAAAAACTCCGAAAAGTGTGGAGGATAGCACATCTCTCACACTATGCGGAGAGTGCGGAGGGAAGAGTGGTCTCTCCGCACTGTTCGGAGAGATCAATTGATCTCTACGAACTATTCAGAGTTTCTTTTTTATACGCTTGTTTGGTCTTTTTTTATATACAATTATGTTTAGTTTATTTATATGGAATGCTTTTTTTTTCAAATTTTTTTTTCTTTCTTCTTATAGATAATGCTAATCAACATTTTAAATCAGCGGATATGAGTGTGAGTGTTGAATATGCAGAACAAACTTGCCATCTTCTAAAATTGGTGGTTATTGTGGTGCTACAAAATTCTATAGAGAAAGTAAAAGGTTTTTGTTGTTGTGATAGAAAGGTCAAATTACAGTTACATGATATGCCTCCTGAAATGTATGATTTATTTACTTCTACATCTGAAGAGGCTGTAACTTTTAAAAAAGTTGTTCATAGTTACAACAATCATTTTGCGTTTACTTCGTTTGGTGTTAAGTATGATAAAGAATTGTGTAAGAATAATAAAGGTATATATACTTTCAGAGTTCAAGAATAAGTATACCATTTCATAAACTCACTTGTGCCAAAGAATAATAATATAACGTATTTACAGTTATACTTCTATGATATTGAAAATGAAATTTTTAATAGACTCAATACTTCTGACAAATTTTGTGAGTTGACTTTAAGAAAGTTGATAGATGTTCTAAACAAAAATCCTTATTCAAAGTTTTTCCGATCATTAAGTGAAGTTAGTGATTTATAATCATGTCATATTTTACTGAGGTCTAATCCTGGTCTTGATTAAAGAGTATATAACTTCCCAATATAAGAACAAGTGGCTGTAGTTTGGGTTGACGATGACCCATCTACAAATACTAAAGGTTAGGATTTATTAATTTATGGACATTCATGTAATGCATATAAAGTTCAATACTATTATGGTTGTTATGATCCTCTCCAATATCCACTACTTTTCCCGTATGGAGAAATTGGATGGTATGATGGTATTCAAAAGGTGAACGTAAATTTTTCACAAGCTCTGGTTTGTCAGAATTTAATAGAAGTTAATCATCTTCATTCTACGGATCAACTATTGGAAGTAGAAGACTATGGTAAACGATTATAGTAATTTCTATTTTTTAAACTAATTTATTTATCTTATTGATTGCATTTAGTAAATGAAGTTTTTCTTTCTTATACTTTTCAAGGCAAAGAAAAAACGAATAAATGTATCATGTAGAAATATTATTATTACAAGCTTCAGATCAGGTGTATAAACAATTGTAATTGTATTCTTTTACATGCTGGCAGACTTTTACAGCAGCATGTTGTGGATATGAGTGTGAAAAGTGAAACGGTAAAATTAGACTACTTTCGTAATAACCAAAAGGTTATAAGAGCTTAATTATATCAGGGAATTGTGGATAGTGTACAAAATGGTGAGAGTAGAGGTTATAAAATTGGTAGATCATTAGTGTTGCCTTCTGGTTTTGTTGGGGGTCCTAGGAACATGACTAAAAGATTTATGGATGCAATGTTTTTAGTTCAGAGATATGGTAAATCTGATGTGTTTTTGACAATGACATGCAATCCAAATTGGCCTGAAATAAAATATGAATTGAAACACATTGACGAAATACAGAATAGCCCAGATTTGTTAGTACGAACATTTCGTGCCAAGTTTGAGGAACAAAAGACAGATTTGGTTAAGAGAAATTTGTTAGGTCTTATTGCTGCATATGTTTATATGATTGAAGTCCACAAAAGATGATTACCTCACGCTTATTTTCTCCTTATACGAAATTCTAAGATCCGAAACTTTGTACATGTCGACGAAATTGTCTCATCTGAAATATTGGACAAAAAACAACCCTTACCTGCATGCTACTATTGTAAAACACATGATGCATGTTCCTTGTGGAAATTTGAATCCTAAGAATATTTGTATGGAAAAGAATTTTGTGTGCAAAAATAAGTATCCGAGAGATTACGTTGAAAATACTTCTTTGGGTAATGATTCATACCCACTTTACAAGCGTTGCAATGATGGTGTAAGTGTTAAAGTAAGATGGTGTAAGTTGGATGACAGATGGGTTGTACTGTATAATCCTTACATTTTAGCTAAATATGATTGTCACATTAATGTGGAGGTATGTTCTTCTGTTAAGGCTGTTAAATATCTATACAAGTATGCATATAAGAGATATGACCGCATTCATTTTACTTCAAATAAAGAAACAAATGAACAATTCGTTGATGAGATTTCAAACTACCAAACAGCAAGATGGATATCCCCACCTGAAGCTATATGGAAGATATTTATTTTTGATTTATTCGATATATCTCCTACAGTAATCTCTTTATAGTTACATACTGAAGATGCTCAAACGGTTACATACAATGAAACAAATGATTTATCAAAGGTTATAAATAAGGACTTGTTTACCGAACAATGTTAACAGAATTCCTTAGAATGAATATTTCAAATGAAAGGGTAAAAACTCCAATCTATTTCATATGGGATGCATCCATGCAAATTTGGAATCCCAGAAAAAGTAAAGATGTTATTGGTAGAATAGTCGGTGCTAATCCATGTGAGTGTGAGAGGTATTTTTTAAGAATTTTGCTAAATCATATTAGAGGGCCAAAATCTTTTAAAGATTTAAAAACAGTCAGTGGTATTGCTTTATCTACTTATTGTGAAGCAGTACTTTCGCACGGTCTTCTTAGTGGAAATAGCTATTCTGAGATGTGTTTATCTGAAACAGTTGCTTACCAAATGCCCATATCACTCGGTGACTTTTTGCCAATGTATTGAGTTTATGTTGCCCTACAAATCC